CCGTAATAAAAAAAGCGATGACCTACTGGGAGAGCAACACTTGTATTAGATTCCCACCGTATAACTCGGGCGCAGGGCATTCTGATAGAATTAGCTTTAAAAAAGATAATGGGTAAGGTTACTAACAATTTTAGTAACAGTCTTTGAGCATATTAGTTAATGTCTGTGCCGTTGCCGTTTTTGGCGTTGTTGTGTGAAGGTTTATATTATTAGTGATACATTTCTGTATATGTTACCTTTACGTTGGTCGCACTGGTAATGGTGCTCAAGATATTTCTATCGGATATGGTTGTGCATATGTGAGTTACGTTTGTATTTAAGTGTCTTTTTTCTGGTATACTTTTGGTGTATTTTTTGTTTATGAAATAAATATGTGCGTGATATCAATTAAATAATAATTAAATTATAATTATGCTGAATAGTCATTGTTACGTCAATACTGACATAAAAATGCGACTGTTGAATTGACCATAACGTCGTTAGAAAGATATTTACGTAGAAAAATAGTACAAAATACTACACATTGATTTATCTTGATAATATGTAAATCAAGTTAAATGATTATATTATAAAACTCGATTAGTAAGCATAGAATTTTTGATCTTTCACATCGGGTAGTATGAGATTTCACATTCTGTGTAATCCAATCTCTGATAGCTTATAGCCTCTACAACACAGAGGCATGGAGACCAAATTTTGCAGCAATGAGCATTTGAGCATCTCAACACAGATACACGTGCCAATTGTGACAATTTCTTTCCTGACAATTCAGATATCAAGACAGAATATTCGATGGCCCAGATAATAATGAACATGACATATAATCCTCAATTTTGCTAAAGCATTTTGAATCAGTGGCGATCTAAAATGTTGTGCCATGATGTATTTTGACGATCTTCATTAATAAATATTAGTTTGTCTGAATTTAGGACCAATTTGTCAAACAAAACCACAACAAAACAATGCATACATAATACAAGGGTGTCAGAAAAATACATATAATGCAATATATTTTCAAGTCACACCACATTCATCAATTATCTTTTACATACTAGTAATTGATTATACAGATACTGACATTTTCTTATGTGCCCACTCACTTCTTTTGTATGTTGTTGCGTTAAACAGAAAGGAACTATTGCTCACAAAATTGGTCATGCAATAGGATTCTGGCATGAACAAAGTCGCACAGACCGAGATGATTACGTTACAGTCACAATTTCAACAAATATACCTCTGCGGATGTTAATATGTACAACGTGCCATACGACATTGGATCGATTATGCATTATGGTGCTAAGGTAGGACTATATTGTAAATATTAAAACATTAACTGTATTCACCATATGTGATCACTCATAATACGACCGGTCCTATGCGATATATCTTTACATTGGAAGCTTGTATATTAATTAACCCACCGAGTTATAAAGTCAACTTTTGTCACCATTCTCAAATGTCAAACCTACATACTCTTTAAGTTTCCAAACTTATGCCCATTCTACTCGCAATTGTCAATTAAATATAACCTATTTTGCCGAGAGAATAATTATGACTTTCAAAGGGGTATCGTGCAGTTACAAACTAAATATCCCCTCATACATGCAATGTGTGATATTTACAAGTCAAAATAAATTCAGTATTTCAGCACGAATGGACAGAATACAATAACAGCGAATAACCCAGCTGACCAAGACAAAATGGGCGAGCGTGATTATTTGAATAACGCTGATATTTTTTTAGCCAATATAATTTATGACTGCCCAGGTATGTATGTATGTATTTTTGATTTTTTTATTCTATTAATTAATAATGTTACCCAGTTCATTCATATTTGTGATGATGCAGATAAAAAAAAATGATCAGCATCAGAGCAAATTTTTCATTGTTTTACATGTGATTGGACACACTTCGTCATACTACTTTATGGACAAACTTTTATGAACGTGCAAATATCAGCACCGAATAGCATGAACACACTTGTACGGTTACTGGCAAAGCTCATTTAAATAACACCTAATTTTATACAGTGTGTTTTCTTTGGTTTCTGGTGATATCCAGTATATTTAGTTTTTCACTGTTTTTTTAGC